ACAGCATTCCCTGGTAAGCACAAAAGGATACCATTAATATGAAAAAGATGATTAAAATTATTATCCCAATAATTAATGTAATCTTACTGTATACCTACAATGTACCAATAAACTTTATAGAAGAAAAAAATACTATTTCCTTTTCCTGAGAAGTAGCATAACATTTTTGATGGCCTGAGGAGAGGGTACAAATATGAAAAATGTCAGTTAAAGAACAGAAATTTTATGATTTTCTTGGTAGCTTAGAAAGAATTATTATTTCAAATTTGCTTTCTATATACCCAGTTTCTACTTCCATTGATGTCTCACCCATAACAGCAGAAGGCATGACTTTCTGCAGTGTCTCCTAAGTATCTAAAAGGATTATAAAGTCCATGATTGGGATATGGGGTAGACAGTGACCATACTATCATGAACTGGATTGGAGGGCTTCCTATCTTCTAGCACTGAGCAATTTCTTCTATGTGTCATGCTTTATCTAATGTTTTCTATCTTCCTGGAGCAATATTTGCTTACATTGTTATTGCTTGTAAAAAATGTAATACTCTGTAATTTTTATAGCACCTGCATTAGTTTTTGTGAAGAAGAATGACTTGGTGAAATTTATTTATCTGATTACAGACACAGGGTGATTCTGCTAGGCTGCCTTTTAGCACAAGCAGACAATTCTCTGTGCACCCCTTGCTCATTGGGCCCTTCAGATTGAAGTTTTCTAAAAGCTCATGGAGCAGAGCAGTGAATGGCCCCAGGTGAGTGCATCAAAGACACATGGATGACAGGCAAAGACCTGAAAGAGCACTGAGCATTCAGCACAGATTTCAATCCTGCCACAAATATAGGATATTTTTGAGCTTCTCATATTCTCCATGCTTACACTTATTTTCCACCAACAAAAATGTGGAAAATTCATGTCATGATTTCATTCCTCTTTAGGAAATGAGAGTTGCAAATGTGACTCTGAAGCACCTATGATTATTAGCTCTGCATCTCTGCTCAAATATTTCTGTGGATTCAAAACAATGAAAATTTTCAGTGCATTGGACAGCACCTGTCAATTTATTTTTAATCCTTTCAGCTCCACCTCTTATTTCTATGATGTGAGGGAGACTTTTAATATAGCTGAAAAAGCATTGTAATTATAATTTAATTTTACTTGAAGCAACTGCAATAAGGATTATGCAGATGAGGAATGCTCTATTTAGGGTTAATGTGTATAAAATTAGAGCAAATAAAGTTTAGCTATCATTACTATCAGTCATAGAATATTCTTTTTTTCTAAATGAGTTTGTGGTCCATTTTAGGTATACAGTACAGTGACATTCATCATTGGGATCTTGTACCTTTACATGACAGGTCTTGGTTCTCATCTTTCCCCATAGCCCTGCCCTCCCTTCACCCCCTTCATTCCTCCCTATTTACAAATGTCTGTTTGCATTTCTTCATTTTTTCCTATTTTTTCTTTTCCCTTATTTCCTTTCCCCTACCCTTCCCACTTTTCCTACACCTTTAGCCATTTTATTCCTATTTCACATTGTCAATTTTACAGTTTGGATCTTATTTACACTTTTAGTTTTTCACACCAGAGAAACTATTTGGCATTTACACATGTATGTCTTATGTATTTCACTTAAGAGTGTGGCTTCAATATGCATCCATTTTCCTATGAATGACCCTAGGTTCTCATTCTTTATGGCTGAGTAGTACTCTATTTTATAGAAAAACCACATCTTCTTTATCCAGTATCCAACTGATGGGCAAATGGGCTATTTCGAAGTTATAGCTATTACAAACTATGCCACTATAAACATGGGATATCTTTCCAAAAGAATCATAAGACTATTCTTGCCAATTATCTCTCGTGTCCTCTAGTAACTCTTTTTGTATTCTTCTTTCAGAATACTTTATTTGTGTTTGTGTAATTATCTATCTATCTATCTATCTATCTATCTATCTATATCTATCTATCTATACCTGTCTGTCTATCTATCTATCTATCTATCTATCTATCTATCTATCTATCTATCTGTTGGAGAGGAATGATGCACTTTACTTTAATCAGATTTCTCAGACCTCTGCCTTGTTTGGCTCAAAAGAGACATCAAAAATAAAAATCCTGTGTTCAACATTGAATGGACCTTTCTCTGAGTCATGATACTTGTCCTTAATGAGGAAGACAGGAAGATGCCTGGTACATTATTGTCTACATCCTCATCCCTTTCACAAATTCCCCATAGATGTAAAGAAAAAATAAAATAGCTCTAATTTTTCTCTGTATCATGGACATTCACATAACTGCATTTTTGTGAGTTATGTTAAAACAAAACACAAACTATATATTCATTTTTTAAGGCACAAAGTGAAGGGAAAAGGAGGCTCTATGCCTCAAGCTTAGATTTAGTAAAGAACATATCATTCCAGTCTCCAGTGCCATAAGAACTATTCTTAGTAAACTTCCTATGTGCTTACTGGTATATGTCTTTACTTTAAAAACAAAATCTCACAATTTCTAACTAATTGTGTTCTAAGTTTCTTTAATTGCCATGTATGTGGATGAATGAAATTCTCCTTATTTTCCTCAAGCTTTATGAGCACAAAGGAGATATTCACACACATTATGCCTGCAGTAACAGTCCAATGACACTCATCTAAAATACTCATTTCTTTAGCACCATACTTTGGCACAGGCTCCAAAACTGAAGCAAAATGGAAATGTTATTCACCATGTGATGGTGAAATTTATTTGTTTTTTTGTTCTTCCTTTTTCGTTTTGTTTTTTTTTGTTTTTCTGTTTTTTTGAGACAGTGTCTCACTATGTAGTTTAGCCTGAACTGGAACTCACTGTGTAGCCCAGGCTGGTCTTGAACTCACAGCAATCCTCCTGCCTCAGCCTCCTGAGTGCTGGAATTACAGGTGTGTGCCATCACATCCGGCTTTGGTAAAATTTATTTGAATGTTATCATGGAGAAAACATTACTAGAAATATTACAGGAGTACTTTGAATATTTCCCTAAGAATGAGATGATTTAGGTGAATATGAGCGGCCTATTTCAGAAAAAAATTAAATTTTATAAATGTATTGTTTGTTGGAAATCAGAAAAATATCACCATAATATATTGTATACCAATTTTAATATGAGTGAAGTGGAAAAGGACACAAGAATTTTGGAAATATTCTCATAATAATTAATTTAAAAGGTAAATGAGGACTCTCTCTCCCTCCCTCTCTCTGTCTCTCTCTCTCTGTCTCTCTCTCTCTGTCTCTCTCTCTGTCTCTGTCTGTCTCTCTCTCTGTCTCTTTCTCTCTCTCTCTCTTTCATAAAGCTGTGCATTAGTTAAAGAAGACCTAAAATCTATATGTGTAGATGTAACCTAGTCTGTTTGGGAGGGATTAGGTCTTTTGATGCACAATAGTTTGATGAGTTTTTGGTCATTTTAGGTAAATTTTAAAGAAAATTGCTTGTGGATTCACAAGTCAGTGCTGACCTGGAAATATGGACAGGAAAACCTATCCCAAAATTCACAAATGCTTCCTTGAGGACAGGAGAGTAAGAGAAATTGTCCCAAATATTCAAATGTTAGGTAATTGTTCAGATATCTAAATAACATTAATGTTGAACATTTATATGCTAATATCTATAGAGATCATAAAATTGGAAATTTTCTAAATGCCAGAAAATATTCTCAGACAGTTATTCTCAACTCTTATTTAAGAAAGTGATGCAAAAACTTGAAATGTAAATATTCTGGTTAAATATATTAGGCTAAGTCTAGGGTATCTTGATATATGATACTTTCCCCCAAATAAATATATTACTAAGTTAGAAGTAACAGTTATGCAAATTAAATGATTTTCAAAATATTTTCTTACATCAACCATATAAGGTATGCAATTCTTATTCTCATTTTACAAATGAGTGGGGATACATTATTTTCATGTGTGTTTACAAGATTTCACATGCCATTTTCTCTGGCAGCTGAGTTTTAAGTTGATGTGAAAATCTGTTATTTAGAATTAGGAAGGCTGAGTCTCAGCCAGGGCCTTGGGAGATTCTTTGTTTCCAATGCCATTAACTGGATATAAGTGGGTTTATGATCAGAACAGCAGCAAACAATTTTGACAAGCTATGGTACACTACAGAGTCTAGAAAGAGATATCTTATATAGCAGATGTTTTACTGGTATTGTATGATTAAAAATTTAAAAGACAAAGGTGCTTCTTCTTATTTATTTTTATTGACAAATGCAGTGTGCACTGATCTATATTTGTGGTAATTACATCCAAAGATTATGTGAATATATCTGAACCTGTAATATCCAAATTGGAATGTAACAAAGACAAAGATTAAAAACATCATATTGCATAATTTTTACACAATAAAAAATTATGCTCAATTTATATACAAATGCTGGGTAAGGTCTTAATTCCTTAAAATATGCAATAAAAAGAGAAAAATGAAAAAAATATTACTTTTTAGAACAATAGCTCAAAACAAAGTGTTCTGGTTAATTACAGTTAACTTTAATTTCCAGATAATGGAGTCCTAGATTTTAGTATTTGTAGACACCCTAAATCAAGAAATTTCATAGCATTTTATGAGCATAAAATATGAAATAATTCAGTGATTTTCAATTTTTCTTCCAGTAGGAGACAGAATCATATTTTCTTAAAGGGGGATGGTTTAACTCTATACTTTTTTGAAAGAAGTTTCCCACATTTTCCTGTGATCAAGGTCTTCAGAAATCTATGTCTTTGGTCTGCTTACATTGTGTAATAGAGTGTGAGTTATGTAAGAGTATACAGAGGAGGTGGGAAAAAAGCCACCCAACACTGAGTCCTTGATGTTGGGGTTTGTCACAATAGAGAAATACTGCTGAAGATTGTGGATATTTTGTGGGGATTCTTTGTTTATGACTACTTAAACTCAGAATATATGCAGAGCTTTGTGTGATACTTTTGTATCATATTTTTAGCAAAATTTAGTGAAAAGTACTCAAGTAATATGGAAAGACATAATCTCACACACATCTCTGACTTCTACCTCATGCACTTCTCAGAGGACCCAGACCTGCAGCCCCTCCTCTTTGGACTGTTCCTGTCCATGTACCTGGTCACAGTGCTCGGGAACCTGCTCATCATCCTGGCCGTCAGCTCTGACTCCCACCTCCACACTCCAATGTATTTCTTCCTCTCCAACCTGTCCTTTACTGATATATGTTTAAGCTCCTCTACAATCCCAAAGATGATTGTGGACATTCTAAATCACGGCAGAGTCATTTCCTATGTGGAATGTTTGACACAGACGTCTCTTTTTGTCCTTTTTGGATGTATGGATGACATGCTTCTGACAGTGATGGCCTATGACCGCTTTGTGGCCATCTGTCACCCTCTGCATTATGCAGTCATTATGAACCCTCATCGCTGTGTCTTATTAGTTTTGTTGTTAGTCTTTGTTAGCATTTTGGAATCCCAGGTACACAATTTAGCTGCTTTACAAGTTTCCTGCTTCAAAGATGTGGAAATTGCTAGTTTCTTTTGTGACCCTTCTCAACTCCTTAACCTTTCATGTTCTGACACCTTATTAAAAAACATAGTCACTTATATGGTTGGTATCCTATTTGGAATTTTTCCCATGTCAGGGATCATTTTCTCCTACTATAAAATTGTTTCTGCCTTCCTGAAAATCTCATCATCTGGGGGGAGGTACAAAGCCTTTTCTACCTGTGGTTCTCACCTGTCAGTTGTTTGCTTATTTTATGGAACAAGCCTGGGAACGTATCTTGGTTCAAATACATCATATATGCCCATCAAGGGTATGGTGGCCTCACTGATGTACACTCTGGTCACCCCAATGCTGAACCCCTTCATCTACAGCTTGAGGAACAGGGACATCAGTAGCACCATGAAGAGGCTCCATTTTTGGAAAACTTAATTCCAGGATGTTTGCCATTTATTTGCAAGGTACTTTACAAAATTGTGGTAAAAATGAAAATCCAAAACTTATCTATAAATAGCTCCTCCCTTTGTTTTTGAAGTTTGATGTCTTTAATATTATATGATGATTTATTACTGTGTCATGGATGTTCAAGGGGCAAGATTTAGTGTTCTTCATACAGGTGCAAATTTCAGTTGAGAAAGTGAAACATTTCTAGAGATGGATAAGAGTGACAGTTGCACAAAAATATATTATAATATCTGTAGCCAAACTCTCCATGTGAAATTGCTTAAAATGGTACCTTTAGATATTTTTGTACAATGAGCAACAGAAATGAAAAGTTGTGGACATAGCTTAAAAAGGAAAAATTAACAAAGATAATAATACCTTAAAACTTCTTCTGTGTAAAGAAAAGGCCCCAAAATTTTGGTGATTTTCATTTTTTAAACTTTCATTCAATTCCATATATTTCAAAAATTGGAACAATATGGACCAATGTGGTATAAACTGTTTGCATCGAGATTTGAAGGTTATGTGGTATTACACAACCTGTCAATTCTTCCAGTGTTTGCTTTTTTGACATCTTGAGATATTTGTACTTCCTTTCATGTTCATCTAACACAGGAAGCATATATTCAACATCATCAAATAGCAATTCTCTGGGCTGTCCTTGAACTTTTTCTGGTCCTTAAGGAGATAAGGAGTGTGAGATATGTTAGGATATTCCATAGTAGACACACAGACTAACTCAGAAAGTAATGGATGGAGGGAGTCCTGTTGGAAACATTGCTTCCCATCATGAAGCTGTTTGGACAGTGAGATGGGAAGATAATTGTGCAGTTTCAGTTCAGAGGATTGTGAAATGTATGTACTTGATTACAAGGGGGACCCAAAATCTCAGTCAAAGGTTTCTTTCCCTAGCACACTGGTCTTGCTTCTCATAGACATCTGACCCATTATAGCATACTATGGGTGGCAGTGAACTATTTCCTTAGCATCTCAAAAGAATTATGGTAGCGATGAGGGTGATGATGCTGAGTGTGAAAATAACCATAACTTCATGAAGCAGTAAGTGAAAATTGCCTTAATAGCAGCATCTAAGGTATGTATTATATGTATTTTTTCCTTTTATGTGAAAAATATTTCTGAGTAAAGCCTGCTATATTATTATTATTATTTTAAAAAGAAATAGGGTGCCTGAATTTCTGTGTAATTATTTACAACTTGTTGGGTAGAAAAGAGTGAAGAAATATTTACATAAGGCTGTCTGATAACACACAGGACATTTAACAAGGAAAATCTTGGCACATATTTCCTTTGACAATCCAAGTGCCTATTTCTTGTCCCTGTCCATACAAGAAAGGCTTATCTTACTGTATTCTACCCTTAGGAATTCCAAGTACAACACCATGGAGAGAGGGATGAAAACTGCTGCAGTACTTTAGAAAGGACATCTAACTTGAGAAGTAAAGATCAAAGATTGACAAAGTCTACAATAATTAGTTTTGATTGCATGCCTGACCCTCACTCCATGCTTTCTTTGCAGCTGTCGACAACCTGCTCCATTATTATAAACCACCCTTCTCAGTGTCCACAAGGGAAATCAACTCAGTTTAGATTTCTCTGCAACTCTGAAAAGTGAAGAGAGTTTTATTTTCCCATGTATAACTACAGTGTATATGTGACAAACTCTGCTGAAAACTTTATGCTGGTTAAGAAACAAAATGATTTGTGGACAAGATACACAGATTGGCAATTTAATTCATAATCTTTCTCCACACCCTGCTATTATGAAAAATGTGGCAGATTGTTTTTATCTTTAACTTCTGATTTGACTCCCTCTTTAACTAGTATTTAAACCATGGATTAAACATATAATGGATGCTCCTCCAATTATTAATAGGTAATGAGTATATAATGTAAGGCCAAAATTCAAAGTACATATCATAAGTAGAGTAAATGATAAAAGTTTCAATTTTATGACATTCAAATAAATATTTTGGTATCAAAGTTGTCATTTTCTTTTTTACATGATGGGGCATTTCATTTTATTTCTGCAAAGCTATGCATGTATTTAGAGAAAATTCATTTCTTGCTTCCCAGTTTTTATCTCTATCCTGGCAAACAGGAGTAGTTAAAAAATCTTTGCAAAACAATAAGTAGACTCTTTTGGCTCACAATAAGTGGACAGTTTTTAAGAGATTGCAGAAAAGATTTTCATGGACATAAAAACTGAGTACATAAAGGAAAGGATGTAATATAATCAATGGAGCAGATATATACTAACATTTTACATAATCACAGACTCCAGTACCTCTTGATCTTAAGGATTCTTCTTGTGTAGAGTGCTTTATTTGAAAAGAAAATTCATAGAAACTAAATGTTTGGCCAGACTTCCTTTAGGTATGCATACATTGCAGAAATGGGTGACAGTTTCCATAATTCCTCCAAGGATCAAAAACAGAGAGGACTCTACCAAAATGCTTCTAGATTTAATTAACACTTTCACCAGAATAGCTGAATACAAGATCAACACCAAAAACGCAATAGCCTTCTTGTCCATAAATAACAGACACACAGTGAGAGAAATTAGGGAAAAATTCCTTTCACAATAGCATAAAAAATTAAGTATTTAGGAAGCAATCTAATGAAAGAAACAAAAGATCTCTACACTGAAATCTATAGCACTCTGAAAAAAGAGATCAAAGAGGATATAAGAGAATGTAAAGATATCTCCTGCTCCAGGGTAGGAAGAATCAACATAATGAAAATGGCCATACTACCAAAACTTCTATACAGATTCAGTGCAGTCCCAGTTGAAACTCTAACAGTATAATTCACAGAACTAGACAAAATAATCCAAAAATTCATCTGGAATCAGAAGAGACCTAGAATAGCCAAAGCAATTCTAGGCAAAAGAGACCTGGCAGGGGGTATCACAGTCACCAACTTGAAACGATACTGAAAAGCTACCATGATAAAAACAGAATGGTACTGGCAAATAAAAAGACCTGAGGATCAGGTCAATAGATTGTAAGATACAGAAACAACTCCAGATTTACATAGCTACCTCATCTTTGACAAAAGAGACTCTTTAACAAATTGTGTTGGAAAAACTGGATTTCAACCTGCAAAAGATTTAAACTAGACCCCTATATTTCACCATGCACTAAAGTAAAATCCAACTGAATTAAAGATACAAATATTAAAACAGAAACACTAAACTTGCTGGAAGATGCATTAGGCAGAACTCTCGAAGACATTAGCATAAGAAAAGGCTTTATGATCAAATCCTCAATAGGATGAGAACTAGCACAAAGAATCAACAACTGGGATCTCATCTTATTAAAAAGCTTCTCCACTGAAAAAGAAACCACTAACAGAGATAATAGACAATCTACAATGTGGGGAAAATTTTTTCCCACCTGCTCCTCCGACAAAGGACTATTATCCAGAATATATAAAGAACTCAAAATAATCAGGTCCCACATATATATAGACACAATTTTAAAAATGGGCATCTGAAATGAACAGACAATTTTAAAACAAAGAAGTCAATATAGCAAATAAATATATGAAAAATGTCCAACATCACTGATCATTCAAGAGATACAGATGAAAATAACACTGAATTTCGACCTCACCCCAGAAAGAGTAGCTTCTATCAAGAAATCAACCAATAACAAATGTTGGCAGTGTTGCCTAGAGAAAGGAACCCTTCTTCATTGTTAGTGAGAGTGCAGACTGGTGAAACCACTGTGGAAATCAATATGGAGATACCTTAAACAACTAGGAATAGAAGTCCCATTTGACCCAGCTAAATTTCTGCTTGGTATCTTCCCAAAAGAATTAAAAGTATCATACCACAGTTGCATATGCTAAACCATATTTATAGTGGCACAGTTTGTAGTAGCTAAAGCTTGGAAACAGCCTAATTGCTCACCAACATGAGATTGGATAAAGAAGATGTGTTCTTTTAATATAAAATGGAATACTACTCAGCCATAAATATTGAGAAATTAGAGACATTCATAGGAAAAGGGATATATATTGAGGATATACTCCTAAGTGAAATAAATAAGTCACACATGTGGGAATACCGAATAGTTTCTCTGGTGTGACTAAACTAAAATAGTACATAAGATCCTAATGAGATAATGGACAATGTGAAATAGGAAGAAAAGGGCTAAATGTGTAGGGAAAATGGGAAGGGTAGTGGGGGGAAGGTAATAAAGGAACAGAAAAAATATGAAAAAATGAAAAAATGGAGGTGATTGCACATTGAGGAAATATTCTTTAGTGAAATTAACAGGGCATGCATATGCAAATATCAAATGGTTCCTCTGGTGTAATAAACTAAAAGTGTAAATGAAAAGCATAATGTGTAATTGATACTGTTTAATAGTAAAAAAGGTCTAAAGTGTAGGAAATTGGGAAGGGTAGGGGAAAAGTATGAAAGGAAAAGTAACAAGTTTTTTTCAATAGGGAAGGGTGGAGGAGATGAGGGAAGGCCAGGGGAATGGGGAAAACTAAGAACTAAGATACATCATGTAAATATAAAAGATTTCAATGATAAATGTAACTGTATTATATACCTAAAATATACCAATAAAAAAAACATCTACTAATACTAAGATCAACCTTGTAAACATCTCATAACTGTTAAACTATATGACTCTATGTTGGATTATGAAGTCCCCAGAACCTTCTCCTTATCCTCTTAGTGGGCTATATTCATAGAAATCCTGCTGAACTTATAGTTTTGCCCATGATTGTTAACTGTTTCTTTGACTTTCTCTTCTTTTAACTTAAAATCTACGTGGCTTTTTTGACGATGACAATGTCAGGTGTTTATGGAAGGCCTTTAGATAGATAGACCCTCTGTAGAGCAATTCTAACTGCTGATCACAACTATGACCCTCTTCACCTGGAGGTAGCCAGGGCAGTCTTCACCCTTTGCCCCTCATAGCAATTGGGATACTTCTTCAGAGGGGGTG